GGGGGGGGGGTGTCGCCGGACCTGCTTCTTTTCCAGCACGTCCTCGAGGTACTTTTTCGCCTTCTTGAGGGGCATGTGGCGGATGGCGTCGGCGGTGACGCAGGTGTTCTTGAAGTGGACGCGCAGGTCGGACCCCGACGCCTTGCACGACTTTGTGCTGTTCTCCGCGTCCCGCGAGTACTTGACCATCGCTCCGGCGCAGCTGCAGACGCGGGGCGGCGGGGCGGTCGGCCGGCGGTCAAAGTCGCACGCGGGGCAGCCGGACGACGGAGGGCCCGGGAGGGGTGGAGCGGAGGCGCGACGGGGGGGCGGGGACGGAGGCGCTGCGCGGCGCCGCTCGCGAGTCATCGGCGGGCTGTCGCTCTCGCGCAGCTGCGGAGGCACGGGCACGGCTGCAGCGCCCCTCCCGCGAAGGGAGCGGCAGCGGCGCCGCGCAGAGCGCAAGCGAGCAGGCGCCGATGGCGCCGGCTAGAGCCGCACGCAGTGGCTGCACGCGGGTGCGGCGGGCGCGCGAGGCAAGCGTGCCTGCTAGCTTAGGCGAGAAGCCACGGTCCGCACGCGGGATTTCGCGTTTCTTTTTCCTTTGCGCAGTGCTCTCCTTCGGCAACCCCTTCCCTCTCCGAAATCCCAACAACTCGGAGGAGCGCAGGGCGTGCGTCAAGGAGTTTGCTGAGCTGCTGCGGGCTAGCCCTGCGTTCGCGGCACGCATCCGGCGGGAGCTCGCGGGCTGCTCTCTCGCATGCTGCTGCTCCTCGTGCTCGGACCTCGCTCATCAACAAGGGGGTGCGGCGTCTCGCGCCATCTGTAGCGCCTGCGCACGTATCGCGGCCCTGCCAGGGACTGCGGGGACGGTGGAACGCCAGGGAGCGACGCAAGCTCGCAATGAACAATCGTGCCACTGTAGCCAAACGAGTTGACCCCACCCACGTACTTGGGCGCGCACTCGGGCGCTGACGGCATCTTACTCATCTTGCGCAGCTGGATGTTTGGCGCAATCAGCTTCTCCCGCAGGGCCAGCAGCAGGCACACCATGCCGCCGAAGCCCGCGCCCGGCTCGGCGTGGCCCGCGTTGGCCTTGACCGACGTGAAGCTCGCCGCGAAGCCGGCGTCCCCGTGGTGCTTGAACGCGGCGCCAACCGTCGAGCCAATCTCGATCGGGTCGCCGAGCGCGGTGCCTGTGCCGTGCGCCTGCGAGGTTTGAACCTCGCTGCCGCGCACGCACGCGATGCGCATCGCCGCCTGGATCACCTTCTTTTGCGCCTGGCCGTTGGGCGCGGTGAGCGAGGCGGACTTGCCGTCGCACCGCACCGCACTGCCCGGCAGCGCGATCGCCGGCGTCTCGTCCTCCTTGCCGCGCATGATGACGGCGCCGCCGCAGTTGTCCGAGCGGCAGTAGCCGTCGGCGCTCGCGTCCCATGTGTGGCAGCGGCCGCGCGGCGAGGTCATGCCGGCAAGGCCAAAGGCGCGGTGCACGTCGGTCACCATCATGATGTTGACCGCGAGCACGACCGCGAAGGGGCACTCGCCCAGGGTGAGCGCGCCGCAGGCGATGGACGTGGCGGTCAGGCCAGCGGAGCAGGCGGTGTCGACGAGGGCGCACGGCCCCTGCAGGCCGAGCGCGAAGGAGAGACGCCCCGACGCGATCGACTGCGAGGAGCCGGTCGCCGAGTAGACGGACGTCTTGACGGCGGTGCCCTGCAGAACCGTCGCAAAGTCCTGGCACGAGAAGCCGAGGTAGACGCCGCCGTCGGCGCCGTTGAGCTCCGACTTGCCGATCCCGGCGGCGTGCAGCGCCTCGTAGCCGTGCTCGAGGCAGCAGCGCTGCTGCGGGTCCATCGCCATCGCTTCGGCGGGCGAGACGGCGAAGAAACTGGTGTCGAACAGGTCGGCGTGGTCGATGAAGGCGCCGTGCCGCATCCGCGCCTGCACAACCTCGGAGATGCCGTCGGCGGCCGCGCCGGCCACCGCCTCCTCGACGTCCCAGCGCGTGAGGGGCACCTCGCCGCACACGTCGAGGCCGTTGGTGAGCATCTTCGAGAGGCGTGCGAGTGTGTTGACGTGCGCCGGCAGCCGGATGCTCGTCCCTGTCAGCGCGTGTGCCGACGAGGAGGAGATCACGATGCTGCCCACGCCGGCGTCAGCCGACTCGTCCTCGGCGAGCTCCTTGAAGTAGCTTGAGAGGGCGCGCGCGGTCGGCGCGTCAAAGATGAGCGTGCCCGGGAGCTGCACGCCCTCGCCCGCCGCCGCCTGCAGCTGGTTGCGCAGCTCGACCGCGCCGAGCGAGTCGAGGCCCGCCTCCATCAGCGGAGCGTCGGGATCGACCTCGCTGCCGGTCGTGTTCTTCAGAATCAGCTGGATCTGCTCGAGCGACACCGCGTTGACGCTCGAGCCGCCGCTGCCGCCACCGCTGCCGCCGCCGTCGCCGCCGCCAGAGGCGGCGCTGGCTGGCTTCAGCCCGGCGAGCATACGTGGCACCTCAGGCAGCATGCCGAGGAACCGGCCCCACCGGACAACATACAGCGAGAAGACGGGCGGCGCACGGAAGTGCATCGACGCGCGGAAGGCGGCGACGCCCTGGCTGATCGGAATCAGCCCGATGCCCATCGCCTGAAGCCTCGCGTTGACGCCGCCGCCGGCCGCCATGCCGACGTCCGCCCACGGACCCCACTGCACCGACGCGGCGGCCAGGCCAAAGGAGCGCCGGCCGGCCGCCATCGCGTCGAGGCAGCTGTTGGCGGCCGAGTAGTTGGTCTGGCCGGCGGAGCCCATCATGGCGGCGACGGAGGAGAAGAGGACCATCGCGTCGAGAGGCGAGGCTGCGACCGACTGCTGCAGCGCCCACCCGCCGTGCGACTTTGGCGAGTAGACGCGCTTGAGCGACGCCGCGGTCATGGCCGTGAGCAGCCCGTCAGAAAGCACGCCCGCCGCGTGCCATAGGCCGCGGAGGCGCGACACGCTGCTGCCAAGCAGGCCGGCGACGGTGCGGCGCAGCTCCGCCACCTCTGCCGCGTCGCAAGCCGCCACGTAGAAGTCGTGGCGGCGATCCCGACAAAGACGCCCGTCAGCGAGCCCATCAGCTCGACCTTGCCCAGGCTGGAGGCGTGCAGCGCCTCGTACCCAGCCTCGAGCAGCATCCGCTGCTGCGGGTCCATCGCCGCCGACTCGGCGGGCGAGATGGAGAAGCACTTGTTGTCGAATAGGTCGGCGTCCGTGATGAAGGCGCCGTGTCGGATGCGGCGTGCGACCTCGCCATCCCCCGACGAGCTTGGCGGCAGGCTCCACCGCCCGTGAGGCACCTCCGAGGCGGCGTCCGCACCGCTCGCCGACATCAGTTGGACTAGCTCGCGCGAGGCATGGCCGAGAGGCAGCCTGGCGGCGAGGCCCGCCATGGCGACATTGCGCCGATCCAGCTCGCCCGGTGGCGCAGACACACCGCTGCCCATCTCGCGCTGCTGCGAGAAGGAGCCGACGATGCCACGCAGAGTCGGGTAGTCGAAGATGAGGGTCTCTGGAAGCTCGGGTACGCCGATGCGCTCCGAGAGCAGCGCGCCAAACTCGACCGCCGCGGCCGAATCGAGGCCAGCCTCCATGAGGGGCGCGTCCGCGGAGACGCCAAAGCCGACGACCTCGGCAACGATCGCCTGGGCTTCCTCGATGGAGATTGGAGAGACGGATGCAGGCGGTGGCGGCGGCAGCGCCGTAAGCGTGTCATTGTTGAGATAGCCGACGATGCCACGCAGAGTCGGGTAGTCGAAGATGAGCGTCTCTGGCAACTCGGGCACGCCGACGCGCTCTGAGAGTAGCGCGCCAAACTCGACTGTAGCGGCCGAGTCGAGGCCACACACACACACACACACAGCGGTTAGGTAGGTAGGTAGAAAGGTGAAGAACAGCCAGGCTCGGACTGGACACCAACGCGGTATGGG